AAAGTAACAGTACTGTCCTGACGCTCGTCGGAAAATGGCTGTTGAACAGAGAGCCAACATCAAATTTTGATGAAAAGTGTGTACGGTAGTGATTGTTTGTGTAGCTCGAACATTTTTCGATGGTAAGCTGTATTTCGTGACGGCATGGAGGACACTGAAGGCGCTCCACGTGCATCAGAGCTGAGAAAAATTCGCACTAAAGAAAATGTGAAAAATGTGACCGAAATCCTTGCATCAGACAGATGTGTTTCTGCAAGACTCATCGAGGAGCTTTTGGGAATGCCAAAAAGTACTGTGCATCAAATTTTGAACGAGAATTTTGGAAAACGGAAGGTCTGTGTGCGGTTTATACCGCACGCGCTGTCAGGCTATGAAGAATATGCCAGAGTGGAACACTGCAAAGACATGTTACGGTCGGCCCAAAGTGATACAAAATTTACAAATCGATTGTTACTGGTGACGAGACATGGTGTTTCAATATGAGCCTCTCACAAAGTGGCAGAGTGCAGCGTTGTTGAGCCCAAAGGAGCCGAAACCAAAGATTGAGCGCATGCAAAAGAGTCGAGTAAAGACACTGCTAACCGTTTTCTACGATTCCAAAGGAATTATCCACAAGGAATTTCTGCCAGAAGGTGAAACAGTGAATTGTGATTATTATCTCGGAGTCCCCAATCGCTTGTGAGTGAGAATTTTTCGATTTTGACCTGAATATCGAGAGCAACGTTCCTGGTCGCTCCTCCACGACAATGCCCCACCCCACAAATCGAAGATCGTGCGCGATTTTTGATCATCCTCCATATTCGCCAGATTTGGCTCCAGCAGATTTCTGGTGGTTCCTGAAAGTTAAGTTGGCGATGAAAGGAGACCCTCCCGACACCATCCAGGACATCTAAGGGAATCTACCGTAGTTTTAAATGCGATTCCACAAAAGGAGTGCAGTGACTGTTTTCGAAAACTTTTCAATCGATTCCAGCTATGTATTGATTCAGAAGGAGACTATTTTGAATAAAAAGAGTGAGATTTTGAAAATAATTCACGTCTTGAAATTTTAATGACCACAGTCCTACGATCCGGTGCATGGCTAAGGAATACCTCAGGTGATAATTTCTTTGGGAAAATGGTGACTATATATACCACATGCTTCAATAAACCACACAGTGTATGTTCCTTATATTTCTCACAATAAACAGCAATTATTACCCTAAACAGGATTAACCTGTTGGCCTTTGTATTCTAGACGTAATGTGTTTCCTGTGAGGCACGAACTGAACTCTGCATTCTGCCCACACAGTGTATTTATGCGCTCCTTATGGTTCTCACAATAAACAGCGACTGTTTCCCTAAACAGCATTAACCGGTTGGGCTTTGTAGCGTAGACGTAATGTGTTTCCTGTGAGGTACTCAGTGAATTCTGCATTCTGCCCACACAGTGTATTTATGTGTTCCGTATGGTTCTTATAATAAACAGCGATTATTTCCCCAAACTGCATTAACAGGTTGGGCTTTGTAGCGGAGACGTAATGCGTTTCCTGTGAGGTACGAACTGAACTCTGCATTCTGCCCACACAGTGTATTTATATGTTCCGTATGGTTCTCACATTAAACAGCGATTATTTCCCTAAATAGCATTAACCGATTGGGCTTTGTAGCGGAGATGTAGCGTGTTTCTTGTGAGGTACGGACTGAATTCTTTAGTACTTAGACGAATATCAGCTTCGAGGATCAATATAAAAGCAAATTTGTTCCAGTGTTTAATTAAGCACGAAGAAAAACTTCACATTTCCAATTTAAGATCAGCTTTTGTGACATGAGTGTCAATTTAAAAAGATGACATTTGTTATGTCACATGAACTTTGATTTATTATGAATGATTCCTATCAGTTTCTCTTATGTTTAATAACAATGATAATAATGGTTGATATAAGGATAAAAATAATCACACTATATTTGTTTCGACTTTAATATAATTTCGTTAATACTGAAGTCGAAAATGACTTTATGCTCTTATACATTTCTTCTCTTCACGTCCACAAACTGAACCTTACTAGCGTTAACTTGTCTCCGAGGCCCTCCAATGCATCTATGTTTCCATACTGCAGAGCAAACCACAGAACCACTGGAGCTTCATTAATGCCATCTACTTCCCTTCAAACTAATATTATTACATAACCAACCCCTAGAGTACACACCGTCACTAGGACGGCATGCTTTCTGCACACAGCTGCACAGAGCGGAGTTGGGTGTCCCTGCCGTTTGTGGGCTGCCACTGGATCTACTTCGAGCCAGATGAATCCAGTTCATACCGTGGCGTACAGACCAGTTGCTAAGAGACGACTCTGTAAATAGCTGACGCTGTTTGGTAACGCACGCAACAATAGAACAACGGGGTTATGATACCCTTTCCTAAGCAACGGTTCAGTAAACACGAGTCCGCGGAAACGAACAAGCCCGCAATAATAGAATAACGGTGTTTTCTCTTGTGTCCGCTAGAGGCTATATGGCGAGGACCCCAAGCCGGCTGAGTGCAGTTCAGCTGAGTGAAGACAGGAATACCTCGCATAGCCCGGCTTCGATCAGTCCGGTTTGAAAATTTCGAAACAAACTAAATTTTAATTGAGCAAAATAAAATAAACTATAAAAAATTACTACACACAATTATTTTTAATACATAAATGATCGGCTTTTCCCTTTATACAGTCAGGTCTTTTTTGTGCGGTTTACTTTATGTGGTTTTAAAGTTATGTGATACGATACATATTTCAGTTTTTTCTGGGGTTCCCCGTTGTGTATGTATGTACCTATGCTCGAGTCGTTCGTTCTTGAGCTCTGACAGCTATCTCTGTAGGAGGTGGGGAGAGCACTACTTTAACGGAATTTTGGAAGAGCTACATCCTGAACGTTATCGAAAATATAGGCGAAGCATGGCACGAATTAACGGCAAGCGATATGAGGGCAGTATGGAAACATATCATACCACATTGTGCAAATGATTTAATTGGTTTTGAAACTCATTTTGCTGAAGTCACTAATAACATAGTGGAAACTGGACAGCAACTTGGTTTCAATGAGTTAGATTCCGTCAACGTAATTGAGTGCAGCAAATCGAACACTAATGAACTAGATAATGAAACACTTATTAACATAGATGAACAAGGGGCTTATGAAGAACGGGAGGACAGCTTAGACAACGACGACTGTGTTGAAGTGCCTGCACGAGAGATAACAGCTGAACACTATAAAAATTACTGGAATGGTTGAAACCTTGTCAGAGCATATTATGGAAGTTGATCCCAATATTGAACGTAGCCTTACAATTCGCCGAACGATAAACAATGCAATTCGTTGCTACAAAGAAATGTATGAAGAGAAAAGGCCAAAGAAGAAAAATGTGCAGACATTATTATTGCAATTTTTAGAGAATAAAAAATGAATTGCGAAAAACATGATTTTTTAATTTATTTCTAATAAAGACATTTGAATTCATTAATCGCGTTTTATTTATCGAAAAACGGAGATTTTTTTGAACCAATTATCATTTTTTGTATTATTTAGTTCCGCGATTAGTCCGGTTTCAAACAGTCCGGGATATTGGCGGAACCTATTACCCCGATTATGCGGGGTATTTTTGTAGTTGGTTGGTGAGAGAAAATTTTGTTGATTTCTGCAAGGAAGGCTGAGAAGAGATGGCGCTGTAGTTTAGTTGAAAGTCGACAAGATTTCAGTTGCGGGATATTCGCCTAACAGCAATGACGTGAGCGCAGGAAGCTGAAGAATCTCCATTATTAGAAGCCATTGCTAAGGAACGGTTATTGAAAATACAGCAGGCTAGAAGAGGGTTTAGAGGGTGCTGTGGTGATCTGTGAATTGTGGAGATTAGCGATAGCGTTGTAATTACGCGTAGTTCCGAGTGGTGCATAAGTACAAGCGGTCAATAAATCCAATACCCAATCCAAACCCCGTCTGTAGTCACTCATACACGTGACAATAACCTCACACCCTAGTCTTTGTCGCTTCTGTGCGTAATACCTGTCCCGTACTGCCCAGACTGGGGACTTCTATGGTTTCTCTCGGCCCATCCAAGCATTTGCTAGGATAGTAACGCTAATTATTCCGCGGTAGCTTCTTTCCACATATTTACCGTATTCACAGCGTCGTCAAATCCCTAACTGTATGAAACGGGGCCCTTCTTGAGAAATTACAAGTTGCTACTCAAATTCCCAGGATTTTGTGCTCCGTAGGTTCATTGCCATATTCACAAAAGCCTACCACTGGTCCTTATCCTGAGAGAGATGAATCAAATCACCGCTCTTCTATCTTATTTCTGTAATATCTGTTTTATTATTGTGGTATGTAGAACCACTAAGCAACCATACAACAGCAGTTGCTAAGTAACGGCTCCGCGATCAAACATGTTTCCATAGCAACTGTAACAGAGGAACGGTGTTTTCTACGAGATCGGTGTCGAGATGTTATAAGCAAGATGAGTCAGTAGAGTCAGTCAGTCAGTCAGTGAGTTAGTCAGAGAACAGAAGTTCAGTAGTTGTGAGCACTTGCTGAGAGAATCTGGCAGCTGAGGCTGGGGATAGTTCGGGAATCCAGAGGAAAGGGAACGTTGAGCCATTACCAAGCAACGGCTACGGGAGACTGTAACACACTGAGAGCACTAGTCTGTGTATGACAGTGATTGAGTTCAATAAATCCTATTACCAATCCATGCTCTGTCTATAGTCACTCCATCACGTGACAGTATTATCCTCCCACCTGGGCCTGGGACTTGCTTCAAGTTTTTTCTATTAAAAATTTGTATGCACGTCTCTTTCTCCCATGCAAGCTACATGCCCTTCCCAACTCACTCTAATATCCGGAGAGGAGTACAAGTTACGAAGCTTCTCATTATGCAGTCTTCCCCCAGCCTCCTGAGATAAGCCACAGACGAACGCTCCTCACATGAATGGACGCCTAGCTGTCATGCGCATTGACCGGACTTGCTCTGCTTCCAGCTCACGTTCGACAGCTTCACGCTGGGCAGATTCATATCGTTCACGGCCGACGGCTGTCCTGACGGGTCACTCCAGATCACGGAGGCGGACCGGCCGGTGGTCGGGGGCTCCTGGTGTGGCACCTCGTGGGGCGCCGCTCTCTATTACAGCGAGACACGCACAGTGAGTCTCTCCCTGCGCCTTATGAGGCTTGCTCGAGACCAGACAGGGTACAACTTCGACTATCGGATGGGATACAAGATGCTCCCTCGAGACATGGCCATCGTCAGATACGGGGGATCGTTACCAGGTCAGTGCTTCTCCCACATCTCCTGGGTTATGACGCCGTATAGTCTGGTACAGAGGCACCATCGGAGAACCTTCTTGCTTATATATTCAAAATAAACAAACTGATTCAGTATTTCCTCGGAGACATCGCTAAAGACATACTAGACTATACGGTGTCATAATTCAGAAGGTCTCATCATGAATTTTGTTCACCGTGAAGACAAAAAACTTCATACTTATCATATTTATCTGTTTCTATGTTTTAATTTTCGGTAATCAACCTCAAATCCAATAGAGATTTGTCTACAGCTGATTACTATTGCAACATACGTGGAGAATTCATCGCGGGTTGCCTCCGTTTGTCTTACTGTTGAAGCTCTTTCTCCCTTATTCCTTTCCAGGCCTACATGTTATCGAATGATACGACGAATCCTGGGTTTAACGCCATCTCCCACGAATAAATCGCATATTATTCGTATGCTGTACTGCGCTTCACATATTCACACCAAAATGTTACCAGTGCTCACAGAATAAGCGAGATTCACTAAAAATGCTGTTCGTTCATGACCCAGTATGTAACTTCTAATCCCGCAACGAGCCGACCCTCGTCAGTCCGTTACCATGGTAACCAGAAATTGAGAAGTATCAATTATAAATCTCGCGCATACAAAACTTATTTATGTGTACAGAATGATATCTGTGTTGCGCACGTGTAGCGGCTGGGCGACAGATCCTTACGAAAGAGAGAGAGAGAGTAAACTCTCGCTAATCCGGATGCTGCTCACGGTTGGGTATATAGTTTAAAAATGACGCGTGGCATTTAGGAAGGCAGATGAGTCACTTGTCTGTTCAGACAAAACTTAACAGTTTCTTCAGACCTGCATTATTACGTTAAGAACAAGTACAACTTCTGAGTCTTCTGTCGACGAATAAATTTATCTTCTTTTTAGAGATTTTAAATTAAGAATCTACAGTGATATTTTTTATTTATTTTCATCAGCACTACTTATGTCATTACATTTATCTGTGTTTACGTTATTTCTTGTCTTTTAGGGCTTGCCTTTTGCTTCACTAATCCGGATGACCTATCCACTCCCAAAATTAACCTGGCCTGGCGAGGGCTTACTGCATCTTCATTATTCACCTCGGTGGTGGATTCTAATGTGAGTAGCCCAGATTATACGGCGGCGATTGGCAGGATGATTAATGAACGATGAATGATAAAGATGTGGAATGAAACTGTCGTGGAGTAATTTACGGTGCTATCCCGGCGCGTTCCTGGAGGGACTGTGGTAAACCACGATAGGCGGATTCGCAGGCGAGATTGAAAGTTAGGGCCTCATGAATATGGGGCTTGAGACTTACCGCTGCGCCAGCCTGTGTATTGACAACCGAAGACCTACTTTGGAAGGAAAGAAAAGTTCTGCGTAGGGTAAAATTGTCCCTGCGCTCAATTAAGCATTAATATATTAAGGCGTATAGGGGAAAGGATGTATATCTCCACGTATTCCTAACCTCGTCACTAAGTGCAGATGAGTGGTGAGATTCACATGTCGGTCGCTCTGAAGAGCCCCCGGTACCCACTGGGCAGGAGGCTGGGTGGGCCCCAGAGCAGGTCTGTAAGCTGTGGAGATACAAAACTCTTCCCCATTTCGCAAATCTGAACCCGATCACTTGGCCATCCAGTCACTAACCTAGCAACTATAGCGACTGAGCTATCCCGGCTCCTTGTGTAGGCTGAATAAACTGTTACGTAACAATGGATATTCTGTTGCATGACTGAAAATTTGCCATGAAATTAGGTGTGAAGAAAAGTGCCTTCTGGGATTTGACACCACAAAATTAGTATGGCAAATCGTAAACACGTGGTTCTAAACTGAAAATGGAGGCAGAACTTCCCTCCGAAACATTGGTAAGAATATATTAAACTACACGGTGTCGTATGCCAGAATACAGTGTTGTTCACAGTCACAGACGTCAGGACCTCGCAGTTGTGTGCCGTTCCGGGGCACCGTACCGGAAATTGTAAATATTTCCCCGAGGTCTCATAAACGCGGAATACTGCAATTGGCAACGACCATGTAACCGCTGTGTACAAGTCCAAAGATCTCCCACTGAGCTAACGTACGTGGGTATAATATGTACAGAGTTAATTATTTTCCCTTCCTAATCATTTAGGAAGAAAAAAATAATAATTCGAGGCACAGAGTAGCGTAGTTGGTTGAGACGCTATGCTACTAGCCGGAAGGTCGCGGGTTAGATTCCCGATGAGGTCACTGAATTTTTCAATTGACCTAATCCTTCCAGCCGCACTATAGCCCTGGGGGTTGACTCAGCTTCTAATGAGTACCAGGAATCTTCCTAGGGGTAAAGAGAGGCCGGCGCGTAAGGCTGACAACCTCACCGCCATCTATGAGCCGATCGTCTAGAAAATGTGGCAATCTCGACGTCTCACAGATCTATGGGACCCCACGGTTTGTTACCCAGTCCATCACTGTTGAACTACAGCAAAAAGGAAATGTATAATGCGAATAGTCCTGCCTCCATTGGCTGGGGTACTCAAAGCTTTGTTGCTCTACTGGTCAAAAAGCTTTGTAGCAAAATCTGGTATGAAAAGCTTCAGCATAGAATAATGGTCGGAGTGTACCCTTTCTGTTAGCTCTTGTGTGTGTGAACTTTCAGAAGAGACCTTTTGTTTTTACTGTTTCCCCACAGAGGAGCAGGGATAGCTCAGTCAGTGTAGTCACTGGGCTACTGACTGGTCGGCCGTGAAAATGGGTTTCGGTTCCTGACAAATCCACTATTCCAGATAGGCACTGGGGTCCATCCATCTTCCCCTGGGGGAAGCTCTATCAATGGACAGGAAGCGGCCGGGGCGTGAAGCTAACTACTCACCTCCATCTAGTGTCGAAATTATGAATGTGTGGTGTTATACCTCCACTCCCCACATGTCTCCATTATCATAGAGACAACTTCAGCGTTGCTTAACTTAAGCTACCTTGTACAAGAATTACATTGGAGGGACGTGTAGCACGCATGGGGTACACGAGTTATATATATAAAAATTTAGTCTGAAAGTCTGAAGAGAACAGTTGGTAGATCAAGCACAGATGGAAGTACATTGAGATGAATCTTCATCTAAACGGTGCCTGAGGATGCGTCTGGATTTAACTGGTCCAGTGTCGCGCTCTCGTGAACACGTAAGTGAATCTTCGGGGAGGGGGTTGTTTCTTGGCCATCTGAGTGACGGTCAGCTTCTGAAGCAGGACTCTGTAGCCACACGGTACGGCGTCGAGTGGTAGGATGACTCATGAATGATGGTTCGGAAAGGGTTCGGAAGGAAGAGACCGCGGTATAACGAGCTGACATCCCAGAAATTACCTGAAGGAATTGAAGAAAACCACGAAAAACTTCATTCAGATAACCGGTATCTTGGTCAAGATTCGAACAGAGCGCCTCCCGAATATGAGTTCAGAAGGTTACCGCTACGCGCACCCGTTCCGTTCCATGCATTTGCTTTTTTGTTTTTAGTTTCTTGGAATGGTACGTCGGCCACTAACTGGCCTAGTGTACCAGCTCAGGATGATAGATGATGAGTGTGGAGCAGTCGTTGTAATGAGAATTGGAAGGGGAAACTGAAGTAATCAGAGAAAACCTTCCCCAGTACCACTTTGTCCACCATAAATCCCACATGACGTGACCTGGGCTCGAACCCGGGCCGCCGCGGTTGGAAGCCGGCGACTAACGGCCTGCGCTATTGAACGGCACTTTACAGTGTCGCTCTTTTGTGCGCAGGAAGTCTACACACTGGCGTCTACATGAACACAAGCACGGCGCCGCCTCCGACGCCTCCAGCAAGTGCATCGACGTTGACAGCGCCCCCGGTTCCCGATGTGAACCCCACGCCGCTGCCCCTGTATGACCTCGGGGACCTGATGGCCGGCACATACTGCTCGAGGTTGTTCACGGACTGTGACCGCAAGGCCTGCCGCCTCCAGTCGCCAAACTTCCCCGGCATCTACCCGCGAAACCTGACCTGCTACTACGCCGTCAGACAACACGAGGTCCCCGAAGGCAAGCAGGCTCTGATTGCAGTGCGACAGCCTAAAGGCCAGCTCGTAGCCATCCGCAGCCAATCTGCCTTATACGGACCAAGCAGTCAGCAGCAGCAGCATCGCAGCAGGGAACTCAAGGTATGAGGTCCGTGGAGGCATACTTCCACGCATTCCTAAGGTCAGGGGGACCGGGGACATGAGCCTGGTTGCATTCCAGTATCAGTCTTAGTGTAAAATATCCCTATAATTACTGGTTTATAGTTTGTGTCGCCGTGTTGTCTGACAGATATTTAGGAAATTTTTAGAAGGTGATGCATCATTGTGCAGGTTAGACGTGTACCCTGAAGATGCATGCTACATATTCCGCCGAAACGTTGTTCGCGAATTTACTGTTGTTACACCTTTTTACAAGACACCTCTGACGGAAGAAACGTCTGTCTTCAACGAGAGTTCAGATTTGGGCTCCGATCACGTGTTCAGAATAGAACCTAATAATGTTCTAATGATGACGTAATTATCTACGTCACTTTCTGATGATGACGCATCCACAAAGATATTTTAAAGGCATTTGTTACGGATTGTGGGAAGTAAAAAATGACACCGATTGGGTGTCTCACAACAAAGCATCTTTAATTCCAGTCCTGGGTTCTTATGTGGAGTCAGAATATCTGGGATTTTGGACTTTGACCATTGGCAGGTATTTTAAAAACTAGATAATATAATGTTTCGGATATTTGATATGTTTCCGTCCTCAGGTGAGGGGGAGCCACCTACTCTGTTGAATCCCTTACAAAGAGCTAACCTCAATCACTGGATGACCCATGTCAGAGTCAGAGTTACTTTACGACTAGCGGTTCACTGCCAATCAGTTCGTCTTGGCGAGAAGGCCCTTGAGACTCACGACCAGTAATTTATTTTAACTGAATACTTGCTTTCATGGTCTTTATGTAACATCCTCTCCGACGAGAGGATGAGTCTGCAGTTTACAATTGCTGCAGGTCCTCCCCAGCGTAGTTATTTTCAAGCCCGACTCCCACGGGACTCATGGTCACATTTTACTGTCTCAAATTCTAGACTCCCTCAACTTGGAGGGCCAGGTCCCTATATTTATATCCCCCAGGAAGAGGGTGGCCCAGTTATACCCTCAGGCTCTGTCGAAGGGAAATAACAGGAAAATGTGCACTAAAAATTGCCATAAAGGATGCACGAGTAGAAACGTAGGTGAAAATGTTTTGCAACAAACCAGGTCCATGGCAATCAATGCATAGAATTAAATGGAGAATTTGTGAAACCATTCTGAGCCTATCATTAGCGTCATCTGGAGACGAAAACTGAACTCTCGAGAGCAAAACATCACAGATCTCAGGGAGTTGGGAACCTCATTGCTGATTAGGGGGATCCAGTTGGGAGAAATGTCACACTGGGGTGCCTCATCGGGTTCGTTAAGTATTCCATATGGGCGGATTCCTTTCTTATGCAGATGTGAAGGATGTTATCGAGGCTTAAGGGGGTAAAAACTCCTTTCATTTTCAAGATTGGGTGAATTTCTGTGTATATGCAGGATGTTGTATTTAATAAAACAACGGGTTAGGGTGAGTGGGATTGGCAACACACAGAAACACCCACACGGCGTAACCGCCCACGAACTGAATTAACATCATTGCAGGTGTGGTCGGAGTGTGATGACGTGCAGGATTACGTCACAGTGTATGACGGTTACACGACCCGTGACGCAATACTGCTCAAGTTCTGTGGAGGGGGGGAGCCAGTTCCAGAGGCAGTGTCGAGTGGGCCGGAGTTACTTGTCGAGTTTACGAGCTCCCCGTACGGCACCTTCGTCTACCCCGCGCCGCCCCAAGCCCTACACGGATTTCAACTGGAAGTTCAAGTAAGGGTAGCAGTAATCGATCCATACCTCCCCCACCAGAACCCCACGCTTTTCATTCCCCTTTGCTCAAACCCCACTTACACCCTCCAATACTTTATGTGGGGCAAACTTGTACCGATGTTTAATCAGACGCGACGCCAGAAAGACGCGTAAGGCAAGGTAAGCTTGACTCTGCGCTTAATTAATCAAGAACTACGTCATGAAGACGTGTGGGGGGAGTAGCGCTAGATAGAGGTGAGTATGAGTTTCACGCCCCAGAGAAAACAGCTCCAGCGGTACCCCTTGGAGAGGAGGTTGAGTGGGCCCCAGAGCCGGTATGGACGCTGTGGAAAAGGGCGACGTCAAGTGTCTTTCGTGAGAACTTCAAAGCCCATACAGACAGAAGACAGTCTGACCTTCGACACTATGGACTCCAATAACCAGTCATACCAGCTCTCAAAATCTTAATAACTTCAGACTACACAAAATTCCCGCCTTGCATCCTGTCCTACGAGCTGAAATCGGATTTATTGGACACTTTAACACACAACTCTTGACTACACTTTCAGATTACTATTACACACAGACAAGTGTTCTCAGTCACGTTCTTCACTGCGTTGCTTGGTAACGTCTTCCAACGGCGGACGTTCCTCTGCTTCCGGGCTCAAGTCATCGCAGGCTGGAGGCCATCTCACACCAACCTCCTGCTCTTCTCACTGCCGTCTCAGGGCTATCCCGCAATGGGAGTTGGCCCCCTTATATAGCCTCGACACAGACGGCACAGAAAAAGCGCTTCCAACAGTTACTTCATTATTGCGTGTTGCAAAACCCTTACCTATCTATGGCCCTTTCTCTCGCTCCACAGTTCTTGCTTTGAGCAATACACAGTACGGTACTCTTGAAGAGTCATTAGAGTCCACGCCAAATCCTTTCCTCATTATTTTCTCCAATAAGAAAACACTTCAATCGTGACGACAAGAGTACGCAACCTTCACTTGTTTCGCAGTAACCATGACAACGAAGGATTTACACTGAACTGTGGAGCGTTGTATTTTCGATTGCATTCGTTTCAAGTAGAACTCGCTTGTACATTCGAGCAATTACGTGCCTGAATTACATATATAATACAACTGCCTGTACTTGAACCCCCAAAGACCGGCCGTTTCAGCCCNAAAAAAAAAAAAAAAAAAAACTAATGACACAAATGAAAACCTGAAGGAATCTGAAACCAATTGTCTGGAAGAATGTCTGCTGGAGACTCTTCCCTCAACATAGAGTCCAGTGGCGTAGTTGGGTTCCAGAAAAGGCAGATAATTATCGATGAATTATAATTCATCGAACAGTTAAGAAACTGTCATTATTTCAGAACCTGGAGCGGCAGCTCCACGTATTTATATTCCCCAGGAACAGGGTGGCCCAGTTATAACCCCAGGCATTCTATTTAATATTTAAAAATCCAGTTCGTACCTCACAGGAAACACATTACGTCTCCGCTACAGAACCCAACCGGTTAATGCTGTTTAGGGAAACAGTCGCTGTTCATTGTGAGAACCACACGGAACACATAATTTTTTTTAGAGAGAGAGAGAAAGAGAAAGAAGAAAGAAAGAAAGAAAGAGCATCGATTTAAGAAGGTTCCCAGGCTTTGCCCGCTCGTCCTTCTGGTAAGAGTAAAGTGAAAGTGTAGGCGTTAAGATGATTAGAAGCAACGACTCGAGAGAGCTGAGAGAGAGGGGCCGCGGAGCTTTTAATTTCAAAAATTTGAGTTTACGTGTATAATTTTGGTAATTTTGACAGCAAGGGACCGTAATTTTGATGAATTTAAATCGGGAGGGCTGCATGAGAAGCATGCAGTAGCAACTTGGAATTTGGGAACCATCTCAGCATTTGCTTACAAGACAGAGGAAAACCAAGAAAACCTGTGTCGAGATGGCCGGTCGCAGGACCTTCCGGATACGCACTGACTTCTAGCCAGCGGTCCGGCAAGCAAAACAGACGGGCGATTCCCTAACGTTTCCCTAGCATGTGTGCTT